GCATTACCTAGTCATAAGAGATTTAAGGGGTGAAAGAAGTAGGAAAATAAACTGCTAGCAAAGGCATGAATCAGAAATGACGTGCTGCTGACACAGAGAAAAACTGTCAGATACTGTAGAGGGCTCATGTTTGCAAAATGGAACTAGGTTACGGAGCACCTTCATTGTTAACATAATTTTTCACTTCTTCCCATAGACAGTGCAGAGCTGTATAGATGAGGGGTCAATTCTATAGAATAGAATTCATAATAGCTAACTTAGGCCAAAAGGGGCCTCTACTAATAGACATTTATCTGTTTACAGAATTGTTGGGAGAGATGGAGAAATAATGTATTGGGGGCTTTCAGGAATCATTCCCAAAGACACTATGGAACTAAACCACCAAAAGCCTGCTGCTACTGCAAACTGAAAACTTGGGAAGCTGATGCTGATGCCACAGCCTCCAGAGCCGTACTGCCACCTTGTCATCAGGAAGTCACTGCAGTTACAAAACGCCATGTCTAGGAAGACATGACAAATAAGAAGTCTCCATGAGCAGGAAGCCTCATTATAGCTTCTGGCTCCAGAAACACACCATACCTGTCATGATAGGTATCAGAACACTGATATTCATGCTTTGACTATCACCACCATGAAACCAGTGATCAGATGTGGGGACTTCTGATAGTGTTGCCACAGAAAAATGAGATGTCTACTGACCATGCTTCCCTTTAGAAAAAAAAAACAAAAAAAACAAACTTAGAATAAATTCTGATTTCATTCTTCCTTGCTAATATGGAATGCATCCCAGCTCTAGCTGCAGAAAATTCTGGGTAGGTAGTTTTCAGCTTTTCAGCCTCTGCAGTAAAGAATGGCACACTGGAAGGGGCTGGAAATGGATATTGAGCACCAATCTACCTTATCCCATAAAACAGCGGTAGTGGAACTTAAATGAAGCCGAAAGGAAGAAAAATGTAGAACTAACCTTTCTGTATATTGAGCTTGACGTGGTTAAAACCAAATTCATTATTGTTCTTAACCCCCCCACACACCGACTATCATCGTATCTGGAGATTTGAGTTGTTGTTGTTGTTGTTTTTTAAAGATTTTTTATTTATTTATTTGACAGGCAGAGATCACAAGTAGGCAGAGAGGCAGGCAGAGAGAGGTTGGGGGGAAGCAGGCTCTCCACCCAGCAGATAGCCCAACACAGGGCTTGATCCCAGGCCCCTGGGATCATGACCTGAGCCAAAGGCAGCGGCTTTAACCCACTGAGCCACCCAGGCACCCTGAGATTTGAGTTTTTATTCAAAGCTACCACTGTGTTAATGACTCAAGTCATTTAGAAACCAGTGTGTGTCCTATATCTATGTGACATCTAAGAAATGCTTCCCAGTAATATGAATTACACCCTACACTACAAAAATAGTGAGAACATATAACTAGAAAAACTCATATCTTAGATATAAGATATATATCTTAGATGCAACACTTTGTGCTAAAAATTGTGTTAGCAAATTAAACCACTCGGACAGAGCTACTAATATCACTTCTACAACAGTGTTTCCTACCCCCCGTTTTTTTCCAGTTCCAAAAGACCTAGTAGAAATATTTTATTGAATAATAATGACTCACCATGGCACAACGTATTCCACATAGTTGTTAAAATTAAAGCTGTATTCTTCAGTTATTGATTGTAAACACAAATGTATTCAATTCAAACATCTCCAAAATTTACTGCAATGAATTGTGATGAAAATGGCAAAAGGCATCAATAAACATTAAGTAAAACAAAGGTCAGAAATCTGGAGGTACAGAGGACGTTTTGGGGGCTCCTATAAAGACTTACTGATTGAATCATTTTTAATAAGTGGATGATAAAGTACTTTAGAGAAACTTAACTGTTGTAAAAATGTGCATTCATTTGAATTGCATTATAACATAAATGTCTCAAAAGAGCACTGAGATTTTGGTGTTACATGAGTTAATCTTATACTCCATTCAAACTTGCTGCATTGTATTAACCACCTATCTGATGTATAACAAACTCTTGTGGCACAGTTACTGATGATGGCTATAATAATTGCACTTAGTGAGGGTGTAGTATTTTGATGGTACCATGATCTACATGGCAACATAAGAATCCTATGTCAACCAGTGTTCACACATATCAGAAAAAAAGAAGCTTCTGCACAGCAGAGGCTAAAAACTCCCAAATTAGAATTAGATTTTCTAGCTAGAAGTTATTCATTTAACAAATGGTTACTGCAACCTATTTCTTTTTTTTTTTTTTAAGACTTTATTTATTTATTTGACAGACAGAGATCACAAGTAGGCAGAGAGGCAGGCAGAGAGAGAGGAGGGGAAGCAGGCTCCCTGCTGAGCAGAGAGCCTGATGCAGGGCTCGATCCCAGCACCCTGGGATCATGACCTGAGCTGAAGGCAGAGGCTTTAACCCACTGAGCCATCCAGATGCCCCACTGCAACCTATTTCTTATCAACTTCAATTTCAACACAATCCCTGTATTTGAAAAACTCAGTTTCCTGTTAATACAGAATATATACCAATAACTAAAATACAACAGAACAAATATTATAATTAAAAAATCTGTAAGGTGCTATGGAATGCAGGATGAGAGCAATAAACTTTCTCCCTGGAGATGGGGAAGGCTTCAGGAAATTAGGGAATCTTAGCAGACAAGGATATATTCAATGGAAATCTTGAAGGATGGGTAGGAAGTGTCATTTTTAACAAGAAGAAGAGCGTGCAAACAAGATATATAGTGATTAGAAAGTTATGATGAGATGGGAGATACCATGAAATATTGAGAGAATTGGGAGTAACTGAAGTTCCTAGAGCACATTGTTTGGTGTTCCTTAAAGTGTTGAACGACAAAAATGAAAGAATGACTCTCAAAAGCAGTGAGAATCCATCGAAGTGTTTTAAGCAGGGGAGTGACTTGATTATACTGCGTTTTAAATGAATCAGAGAAGAAAAGTGTGAAAAGTAGACGACTGAGAAACGTATTACAGTTCTGGAGACAAGAAGAGGAGCCATGAGCCCAGGTAAGTTAGATGGTTTGGTCAAGGGCTCAGAGATGGTTTATAGCAAAATCAACTTTTCTCTCTCTCTACACCCAAATACTTTTTCTACTATGATTCCTTACCTAAAAATCCATTATTCACCACCTAGAATTTGAGGTATCTCTTAAGAGCATTTCCATTGTAATGATGCGGTTGTACTATGATGTTGGAAACGATGGACAGGTCTAACTGGCTAATCATGGTTCAGCAGGATTTTTGCCAGCTTGGAGTTGTTTTTGTCAGGAGACATAATTTGAACATTGGTATATCAACAATTAATGTAACTTGCAAATCACAAGCCAAAGCAACTTAAGCAGATAAGCTCATTTTTCTTTAATTTTGTTTATTTTTTAAAGGTAAGAGAGACATAATTAACTAGATGATTATTTCTCAGAAATATTGCTATGTTTGCATTTCTCAGAGGCATTCTTTTCTCCCATGAAACACTCTGGCCTTAAGGCCAGTGACTGCTTTTCTCATATTCCAACTACTACTAGCTCACAGCATCCTGCCTCCCTCCCCTTTCTCTTTCCATTCTCAGTTCTCATCCCCCTTATCCTTTCCTCCCTATTACACCAGCTCCCAGCTCCCAAAAGGTGGATTAGGTCATTTATCAAAATCAGGAGGTTTTCTTTTGTCAATCAATTCATTTCCCTATTACATTGAGACTAAAAAATAGCATGGCTTTGTCTCAAAAAAAAAAAAAAGCTGGATTTATATTTTATCATTAGAAGGTTTGAGTAATAATAGGAAGCAGGTCTTGACTTAATATAAAAGCAAAGGAGTAATTTTAAATCTTCAACTCCCAATTTCTGTTTCAAAGTATTTTCATTTTGATGATGCATTTAACACTCTCCTCTAGTTTACAAATAATTGGTTTGTATTATTATACCTCACTTTGTAGACAATTTGGCTGCACACATCTATAGATGCCTACCCGATGGATATCCATACTGGTGGGGGGAAACCATGTGATGTCTCCACTAGGAAAGGAAGAAGAGACTGGAGATTCCTGCCTTATTTTGAGTTCCAGAAATCAGCTGGTCTAACTGGAGGGAATGCTCAGGCCTGATCTATACTAAATCTAGAGTAAATCTGAAATACCAAAGGTGAAATAAGAAATGGTGGAACTTCTCAGGATCCTTGCAAAACATACCAGGTTCCACCACTGTTCCTTCTCCCATCATTTCTTGCACAGTGCTGAGCCAAATCTGGTCTCTCACAGACCCTTTCTCACATGCAACGACTGAATGAATTTTGGACCCAGGGTGGCTCTCTAAATCACACTAGATAATTGTACAGACCCCATCTATGCATCATAGCATCAGTGACCCACAACTCAGAAAGCATAAAAGAACAAACTAAAAGTGTGAAATATTATAGTTTTCTCTGCCAAACACATTTCGCCAAGTATCAACTGGTAACCCACAAACTCAAAATTCTTACTGACAAAATATAAAAAATCCCATGTTCCCATACCTGTGGTTTGTATTTAGAGGACCATCAAAATGGGCATAGGATAAGGAACTCCATTAAAAAAAAAAAAAAAAAGTAAGCAAGCTCAGCCCTAAAAGATTAACAAGTGATTTTTAATCAAGTGGAGCTAATTCAAGTCTTGTCTTCTAGGGATGAAAATGGAAAGCAATAAACAAAAAAGGTGGAAGAAAACAGTGTGACCTTGATGACTCCTCCAAAGTCCATCATCACCACATTGGTTCTTTTCATCCCCTGGTGACGTTAATCTTCTGTTTGTTTTGCTACTGTAATCCTATTCTAAGTTTACCAGAAGTTGCCCTTTCAAAGTTGGTCTATGCCTGTTCTTTCTCACCTTATGAAAAGTAAAGGAAAAAAAAGAAGTGTTTGTGTGTGTGTGTGTGTGTGTGTGTGTGTGTGTGTGTGTCTACTGTTGGTGGTTAAATACCAAGTTGGGACTTCCTCTTTGAACAGTTGCTTTTTCCTCTCACACAGGAGATCTCATTTTGAGACTGGATATAGTTGAAATCAAACGACATACTGAGAGGGTATGATGGCTAAGAACCCCCCGAAACCAGCCCCTCGCAGGATCTTCCAAGAAAGGTTAAAGATTACTGCTCTACCTTTGTATTTTGAAGGGTTTTTGTTAGTCAAGAGGTCAGAATACCAGGTAAGTCCATAGATGATAACGTTAAACTAGTAGTTTCTGTCTTAATACAAAAGTTATTTCATGGTGATTTGATATGATGTGACAAGGTCCTCCTTGTTTCTGTTGCGATTAAACCTTCTTCCTTGAGCTCAGAAATGTGATGCCAATTTTGCGTAATTTAAAGACAATGTATGGCTTAAACACATACATGTATATATATTTGTGTTATATGTAATATAACGTTCTACTGTTGTTACTATGTAAAAAAAATTAATAAAAGCCACATTTCCAAAGAATTTATTTAAATATTACAGATTTCAGCTTAGAAGTTAAAATGTTTCCTGTATTTTTTCTGCAATTTTCTAGTATGCTTCCACAATGATGTATACCATTAAGATAACATATTACAACTGAAGCTGAGCTGTGTGCTTCTACTCTCAGTTATTTGAAGTTTACCAGTAATGATAAAATTATTTTTAATAGTTAACTTTTGTAAAAAAAATTATGAAAATGATTAAACTGATACTGTTAGCATTATGCATAGTTCAATATTCTAAAAACATTAACATAGTTACTTGAAAAGCTAGTATGTAGGTACAGTATGGGTAATACGTAAACTAAGCAACATAAATACATTTACTCTAAGAAAATGCAGAAAGTGTTTTGTATTTTTAAAATGTAAAAATGAAAACTTATAATTAGTTAAAATCAGTTTTTATTATACTAATTATGGAGATTTGAAATTAATGAAAGAAATAAATGTGAAAGTGCTTGTTACTAACAAAAAATGAAATAATTAAGTTAGGTCAAATTTTATGAAATTTTAATAGCAACAAAGTAAAAAAGTAAGTGTTTCAAAGAATGTCATAAGGAATGTCTAATAATGGTAATAAGATATATTTTCTGAAGATTTATTAACAGAAAAATTGTGTGTGTGAAAATATCTATAATAGCACATTCGGGATTTTTTGCAAAGACATGGTAGTTTATATTCTGTTATGGGTGTTAAACATGTATTAGTAAATTTGGCAGCTACGTTAGAATATTTTTCCCTTCTTTATGCTTTCAAAGTGAATTCTATCTTGTTACAACAGGTTAGCCACGTTGTTACACTTTGCCAGGAAACTGGAATTGGGAAAGCAAAACTTCTAATTTGTAATTTAAGTTTGGTTATTCATTAAATATCTATCAAAGTATTCATAATAACTGTTCTGAAGGGTTTTAAAAAGTATTTAAAGAAGGCATTCCACTGGTATGGTTAATAGAAAAAGGATTTTAGAGCCAGTAAAATATGTCTTTACCTAATGGTTTTGCCACTTAAACAGCTTGTGATCTTGTACAAGTTACTCTATCTCCTTGAAGTTCAATTTTCTCAAACTATAAAATGGGAAAAATACAACTTACTACACAAGGTACTATGTCTGGGATACAACAGGTGCTCAATTAATTTATTCATTCAGGCAACGTTTATTGTATGTCTCCTATGCACCAAGCATCATACTGATTTCTAGAGAATATAAACAACATAAAGACCCTACCTTCAAGAGGCTTAGTTCATGGTAAGGAGGGATGACTCCCTTACCTGATTGCTACTCTACCTGTTCTTAGCGTGCTTTGAAATGGAAAGACTAAAGTATAGCTATAAATATTTCTGATAAAGTTAGGTTGTGTTTCCACTTGAATTCATAGCAACATATCTTTTACGTGTATGTCAAGGAGAAGAGACCAAGAGGACAGCAATAATGTCGACTTATAGGGTGGTTTCAAGGATTAAAGAGATATATAAAATACCTGGTTTACACTAAAGATTAGATTCATTCTCCTTCCATTTCATTATTTGTCAAATTTTTCTTAACATACTAAAATCAGTTTTAAGTCCATAAGTACAGTTGACCCTTAAACAGCATGGGTTTGAACTGCACAGGTCCAATCCACTTACACTTAGATTTTTTTTTTAAAGATTTTATTTATTTATTTGACAGAAATCACAAGTAGGCAGAGAGAGGGAGAAGCAGGCTCCCTGCTGAGCAGAGAGCCCGATGTGAGGCTCGATCCCAGGACCCTGAGATCATGACCCGAGCCAAAAGCAGAGGATTAAACTTCTGAGCCACCCAGGCACCCCAGATTTTTTTTTTTTTATAAATATAGTACAGTGTAGTAAAGGCAGAGGTTTAACCCACTGAGCCACCCAGGCGCCCAACATTTTCTTTTCTCTAGCTTACTTTATTATAAGGACAAAATATATAATACATATAACATATAAAGTATGTGTTAAACAACTATTTATGTTACTGGCAAGGCCTCCGGCCAACAGTGGGCATTTGAAGTTAAGTTTTTCTGGAGTCCCAAGTGATACACAATTTTCAACTGTGCAGGAGGGTCAGCATCCCTAATCTTCATTGTGTTGTTCAAGGATCAACTGTTAATATGGCTCAAAGGAGAACCACAGGGCTAGAGTACTAGAAAACAAAAGCTGGGAGAAAAAGCTAAGGAAAATAGTGGGATTTCCAGGCAAGCAGAAGTAAAGTGCCAGGGGAACCTTCGAAAGTGAGGGTGAGTCAGGGGTAATAAAAGGTTATCTTCAAAGAAAATGGGCTCGAAGAAGTTGGGAAGCTCTGCAGAACATTCAGCTGGGGTCTTTGCTGAAGGAATTCAAAACATTTAACTAGAGAAAACATAACCGAGAAATAACCTAGTCTTTAAGGAGATCACACATTTAGAGGTGTTTCTTAGCTGTTTGGTGACAGGGGCACTTTTTTTTTTTTTTTAAAGATTTTATTTATTTGTCAGAGAGAGAGGGAGAGAGAGCGAGCACAGGCAGCCAGAATGGCAGGCAGAGGCAAAGGGAGAAGCAGGCTCCCTGCAGAGCAAGGAGCCCGATGCGGGACTCGATCCCAGGACGCTGGGATCATGACCTGAGCTGAAGGCAGCTGCTTAACCAACTGAGCCACCCAGGTGTCCCGACAGGGGCACTTTTAAGAATTTAAGGAACTTTGCCCCTAGGAAAAGGTGCCAACAAATACCATTTTAAATGCAGTTTCAGAAAGTCCATGGATTCTAGGTCAAGAACCCATTAAAAATAGATAATCTTCATGGAGAAGACTTACTTAAGCCACCCTAGAATTTTGGATTGATCAGGAAGATTTATCTGATAATAAGAGGTATTAAGTGCCACGGCAGGACTCCAATGTAAACGCAGTTCTTGCAAATGGGGAAAGTTCTCATTTTTCTGGAACTGCTTGAAAATAAGAGAAAGCTTGGGCAATATCTCATCGTTTATTCAGTCTGTGATATGCTAAATTAAAAACAGTGTGGGGGCACCTGGGTGGCTCAGTGGGTTAAAGCCTCTGCCTTCGGCTCAGTTCATGATCCCAGGGTCCTGGGATCCAGCCCCGCATCAGGCTCTCTGCTCAGCAGGGAGCCTGCTTCCCCTCCTCTCTCTCTGGCTGCCTCTCTGCCTATTTGTGATCTCTGTCTGTCAAATAACTAAATAAAATCTTAAAAAAAAAAAGTGTGTATACTATATCTTATCAGCCTGAATATAAGAATGTGTTCAATGTATTTCATTCAAAATTGTGTTCTTCAAAATTAATTTTTAAAATATTTACATATGTCTCTATGATATGTATAGATATATACCGAGGTATTAATTATTGAGATTGATATTTATAGATGACTCAGAGCTTATCAGAAACTAAATAAGAGCTTATCAGAAACTAAATCAGGACTAAGATCTCTGCATTCTGAATACAGGTTTGATCTGTTCTTAGGTTTGTAGCTGTGGTTGGAGTTCACAGGACCTACAGCTGTTTGTAATCTTTCTTTTCCTCTAGGCTGCCTTGACTATCAACTCAGTGCCTTTGTTCTTGCTTCTTCCTGTACTTAATAAACCCTCTTTAATCCTTTCCATGAATCTGTATGTTTGTTTACCAGTAAAACTCTTTTTTTTTTTTTTAAGATTTTATTTAGAGCTGGGAAATGAGCAGAGGGGGAGAGAGGGGGACAAGCAGACTCTGTACTAAGCACGGAGTCCTACATAGGGCTCCATCCCAAAACCCTGAGATCACGTTCTGAGCCCAAACCAAGAGTTAGACACTTAACCAACTGAGCCACCCAGGCGCCTCCATCAGTAAAATTCTTATTTTTCCCTGATTATTTCTACTCAGTTCATATCATTCTCTCATGACTAAACACCTCTGTAATTTTTCTTAGAAGCACAGATGGATGTCTGTCTGTACATACAGAAAAAAATCAATAAACTTTGGCTGTTAGTAATTTTAGTTTTTCTATCTATAGCAGGTTAATATTCATGAGGCTAATTAAGAAGATGAAGAGAGTGGTAGACTTTGACTTGAGGGGTTTCGATTGCTTTTCTTTTCCTCCAAGAATCATAGAATCTCCAGTTTGAATCTGATCTTAGATGTCATACTCCAGTAAAACTATACAACCTGTTGTTAAGTTCTCCAACTAAAATGCCGGCATTCTGATCCCTTCCCAGTCTCCATCACCCACATCCTAGTCCCAAAATACAGTGTAGCTTTGACCTGCTACTCGTGTTGCAGAGGCTTACCACTAGAGCAGAATGTGAATGCCTTGAAAGAAGATACAATTTAAAAAAAGAAGCTCCTGTCCTCAAATTTGAATTGTTTTATTACTAATCAAAAGTCAAACCTGAGAAAATTCAAGTATTTTTCAACACAGTGACTAGATGCTCTCATGGTTTTTACAGAATATCTGCCTGATCATAGAGATATTAGCATATTAGATATTAGCATAGATATTAGATATTAGCAACTTCTCAAGCCAAACTTTTTTTTTTAAGATTTTTATTTATTTATTTGACAGAGAGAGATCACAAGTAGGCAGAGATGCAGGCAGAGAGAGGGGCAGGGGGGGGAAGCAGACTCCCTGCTGAGCAGAGAGTGAGATGCAGGGCTTGATCCCAGGACCCTGGGACCATGACCTGAGCTGAAGGCAGAGGCCTCAACCCACTGAGCCACCCACGCGCCCCTCCTATGTCCCTTTGAAGGGGTCTTTGTTAATTTGTTCTTGGCCCAGGAGGCATTACATTATAGCCGGCTGTCAATTAGCAGGTAGGAGGGAGTGGAAAGACCACAGGTCCTGAACAAAGAAACTTGTGCCATGTTCCAGCTCTGCCCCTGAGGTAGATTGCTACAGTAATATGACCAATTTTTTCAAGCCTCACTGTATGCCTTTCCATTTGAAATGTGACTTTTCTGCTCTTCCATAAAGAGATTGCATTCATTTTTCTACCTACCCCTTGAAATCTGGACTGGGTCACACTTTGGTAAATGTGACAAAAGCAGATTAGAAAGTACTCACCCATTGGGGCTTGCCCTCTCTTGTTCCTGGGAATCCTTCTGCCAGTGTGTGAACAAGTCTAGGTTACCTGACTGGAGACAAGACCCTATGGAGTGAGACTCCAGTTTTCTCAGTGGGGGGTTTTCCAACACCAACAACCACTTCTCTGTTTCTCTGGACACCAAATGGGTGTTCGACAATTCAGCTTAATTCTGACACTACCTATCCAGACTTAGTGCAGACCCCATAGCTTATTTAAGGGCTCAGTCCTACAAGGCTGCCCTCCACTTCCATCACCAATTATAAGTTCCAGGCCTCCCATAATTCTCACCAACTCATTGTAAATAAAGAGTGCTTGGGCGCCTGGGTGACTCAGTCGGTTAAATGTCTGACTCTTGATTTTGGCTCAGGTCATCATATCAGGGTTGTGAGATTGACCCCTGCATCAGGCTCCATGGTCAGTGGGAAGTCTGCTTGGGATTCTGTCTCTTCCTCTCCCTTAGCCTCTCCCCCAGCTGGCATGCTCTCTCTCTCTAAAATAAATAAATAAGTAAATCTTAAGGAAAAAAGAAAGTTCCCATGACTCCCTCCTAAGATTTGATAATTTACTAGAATGGCCCATAGCTCTCAGCAAGACACTTTACTTATATTTACTGGTAAGGGATACAAAAGAACAGGCAGTTGAAGAGTCCTGAAGGCAAGGTCTGGAAGCCCACCTTGTTCCTGTCGGAATTAAATTGGGCCTCACTACCCTCTTACCACGTGAATGTTTTCACTAATTAGGAATCTCATCAAATCACATTGTTGAAGAGTTTTTATGAAACTGAAATCTCCCAGCCCACCCACCTTTTTTCCCAGAGGCTGGTGGGTGGGGCTGAAAGTTCCAACCCATTAATCAGTTGTTCGGGAGGCCTGACCTACCCTGAAGCTATCCAGGCATCCCAACCGATGTTATCTCATTTGTATAAATTCAGGTATTCTGTAAAGGGACTCATTATGAATAAGAAAAGCTCTCCTGTCACTCAGGAAGTTCCGAGTTTTAGGATCTCTATGCCGGGAACTGGGGGACAAAGACCAAATATATTTCTTCTTGTATCACTCTCAGCTCCGCATTCCCAGCTAAGACCCCAGGCAAGTGAGTGAGACCACCCTAGAGCAGCCACAGGGAGGTATACCCAAAGAATCATCACCAGACACTGGATGATGAGAAATAGAAAACATTTGCTATTTTAATCTGCTAAATTTTAGGGTGGCATTTTACACAGTAAAGGCTAACTAAAATAGCACTTTATCAGGCATGAAGAAAAAGGGGGAAACGTTCTACTAAGAACATGAGAAAGATGGTCCTTGTAATTCAAAAATGAATTTAATTTTGAGCTTCCAAGGAACCAAGGTAAATAAAAACAAGATGGGTTATAGAGTTCCCATTATTTGAGAAAAGACATATATAAATTCCGAAGAGGTGACAAACATTTTGCTGGTCAAAAAAAGAATAAACAATATTTCAGTATTAAAGAGACACAAAATACCATAATATATAAAAGTATCTTCACATTTTATAAGCACAAGAAAAAAATTTCGTGTAATTCCCCTACATTAATTCTCAGTATAAGTTGAGATAATCCACATGTTATAAAAATTGAGCTTATTAAACCCTAAAGGAAGGAATGGTCATCCTGTTTATGAAGCTGGAATTTTTAAAAACATACTTTTGGAAAGAGCTGGGTATGAAGGTTAGACTTTAGATGTGGAAGGATTTTATTCTCAAGCCCCCCTTGCCATTCTTTTGTAATACAGCCAGTCTTCGTATAAAATGTAAATTCTCCTTATATAAATGAAGTTTCACTTGAGTGAAATGAGACTAGGTCATACAAATTTTTTAAACTTAAAAAGTTGTATTTCTTTTTTTTTTAATTTGTATTTCTATAGAACCCATAATAAAGTGAATGTAGAAATAATGAAATGTTCACCACGTGAATGAAATTCGGACTTCAAAGTTTGGATTTGATGATGTTAAATTATTTTTATGATTATGAACTGTTCACATTGCCTTTATTTATATAAACATATACTATTTATTGACCAAAACGATGAGCCATGTACTCGTAAGTGCTTTAGATTTATCAACCCATTCAATACTTTCAGCTGCCCTGGAATGTAGATATTTAATGCTTGTCCTATCCTGGTCCCTTAAATGACTACAGAGACAAACTTCCACTGAAACCTACATAAAAAGTCAAGTGTCTTAAATCAATGGGGAACGTTTTGAGAAATGATCTATTTAAACACACCTCAAATTATATCCTTACCTCACATCTTATGCTAAAATAAATTTGTGAAGGATTTAATCAAGAGCTAAATGTAATATTAAGCCATAAAATTAGGTGATTTACTCAAGATAAAGAAGAACCTTATATCAAACAGCAATTAAGAAAGTTACAAAGAATATTAATAAAGTAGTTGAATATACCAATGAAATAATGCTTATAATTTATTTCCCACAGGAATATAAACATTACTGGACAGAGCTGAGAGGAACTACACTTTTCTTTTATTCTGACAAAAAAAGTCCAACAGTGAGTAGTAAAACATATTCAGCTGATTCAGTTTTTCCTAATATGGACTTGGCATATAGTCCTATTTATTTGGGGGTTTCCGTCTTCTGAAAGTAAAGATATTCTAGTAAAACCAATTTCAAATAAGAACTTTTATTATGTCTGTGGGGGCTTTCAGGTATAAGACCCATGGTAAAATTTCCAGGGAACCTGGGAAAAAGGTATAAACTCATGTCTTTAACTTTGAATTTTTTTCTTTTTGATTCCAATAATAGAAACTTAGTTGAAACGTGAAATTTTTATTTTATTTTTTTAAAGATTTTATTTATTTACTTGAGAGAGAGAGAGAGAGAGAAAGCATGAGCACAAGCAGGGGGAGGGGCAGAGAGAGAGGGAGAAGCCGACTCCGCAGGGCTCTAATTCCTAGACCCTGAGATCATGACCTGAGCTTAAGGCAGATATTTAACGGACGGAACCACTGGGGTGCCTTAAAATGTGAATATTTTAACCAGATATCTGAATACAACTTGTTTATGCCAAGGGATAGCCTTAATTTCCCCAGCTTTTTATCTTGCTGTAGCATGCAGTTACAATCTGAAAGGAACTAGATGACCCCCAAAGCCTTATAACATAAGATATGTCACAATTTAATTGTCCTAGGGAGACAAAAACATAAGGACTGCTAAGAGCTTAAGCATGAGAATAACAATAGATTCTGGGATTAATTTATTAGTAGTAATTTTAAATAATTGATTTATATTTCAACTTTCCCACAAAAATCGAAAACAGTGTATTTCATTTTTCCACAAATAAAATGTAGCATTTTCATGCCAAACGCTTGCCTACCTTGGAATGTTACGCCCATAGAAGATTTTATGATCTAGTCACTTGTTTAAACACTTTGGACCATGGATGTAGTAGTTCCCAGTTCTTAGAGCATCATCATTACCTGTCCCGATATAACAGAAAGGAACAGAAAAAGAGCCTTTGTGATGTATTCCACCCGGACGCATTTCAGGGCCATTTCAGAGCCATTACATAAACTCAGTAGAAGTCATTTAAAAAACAACACAAAAAAACGAAAAACAAACTTAAAATAATCATCTTTCTCCGGAATTCTGGATAGGCAAGACTTGTGTAAAGGTGTTTCCAAATACCGTAATAAATTTTAATAAAACTAATTCTGCCGTTGTGCCTTCCAGCTGCTTACTGATGTCAGTAAACCTGTGACAGCCCCTGCCCTACACCTTGTGTAGCACACGTAAGTGGGCGAGCGAGCCAGCAGTTACTGCTCTCTCACTCCCTGGCAGGAGGCGGTACCACTTAGGGATGGCAACCTGCTCTTCAGGCTGACTGCCTGGGTGTTTATGATGGCCCTGCTGCCATTAACTGTGGGTTTGCAGGCCAGTTACCTAACCTCTCTGTGTCTCAAGTCTACCAGACAGGGAAGTGGTAGCAAACAGATGACGTCTCAAATTGGGCATTTTTTTTTTAAGATTGTATTTTTAAGTAATCTCTACAGCAAACATGGGGCTTAAATCCCCGAGATGAAGAGTTCATGCTCTACTGACTGAGCCCGGCAGGCACCCCTCAAACTGGACGTTTTTGAAGGAAGTATAATGATGATGCTATATTCAAAGCTGTGGACAGGATGTAGGAAAACCACAAAGGGTAGAGCAGAACTTTGAGGCTAGTAACAGCACCCTACTCTTATGCCCAAGATGCATTTAAAAAAGTGGGAGAAGAGTGAACAGAGGTGTGCGAAGATGAGTGTGTTCAGAGGAGTATGACCTTTGACTGACGAAACAATTGTATGGGATCATAAATAGCTCATTCTCCTCAGTCTTCTGATCTGCCAGTGTTAACCAGGGTCCCACCCAACAGGAAGTCAGATGTTGTCCACATCAGTCTCTGTCCTGGTGCATAGCACTGTGTGGTGAGTAGATAAAAGTAAACCTAGAGGACCAAATAAAGGTCTTGTCCAGCACGCGTATTTTCACATCTCTAAAATTAGGATGAAAAGGGTAGTCCGTGTCATGAGGTTATCAAAAGGATTAAACGAGGTAGTGAACGTAAAGACAAGAAAATAGCTGGCACATAGTAAGCATTCAGACGTTTTATAATTTTTTTAGTTTTTTAAAAGTTTACTTATTTGAGAGAGAGAGAGAGAGAGAAAATGCACAAGCCAAGGGATGGGCAGAGAAGCAGACTCCCCGCTGAGCGAGAAGCCTGACATGGGACTTGATTCCAGAACCCTGGGATCATGACCTGATCCAAAGGCAGACACTTAACCGAGCCACCCAGGCACCTGCATTCAGACATTTTATATGCGATATCTCATCTAATTCTCAAAACAACTCTAGAGTGGGTACTGTTTCAATCACCACTTCCAGATGAGAGTAGTCAAATTTCAGGATTCAGAAGTTGTGCAAGATCAGAGAATGAAAGGGGTAAAATCCAGATCTTGCTCCTGAGCCTGAATTCTTAACCATTATGCCATGAAGAGACTGTTACAATGAAATACCGCAGAACTGTCCGTCTACCAATTTTGTTAAAAGAGGGTGCAGGCTTTAGGAACTGTGTTGGTCGATAGTCTCAGGAGAAAGCACAGAGGTAGAACAGGTGAGAACTATAGATATTAAGCGGTTAGTGGGGAAGAATTTAAAGCTGCTTTTATTTGAAAGGCTATCGGGAGGTCATATGAAAGAACCCATGAATTTGTTTCATGTTATTATAGAGAAAGGGGACTGGGACCGATGGATGGAAATTCTCCAGAGAAATAACTGTGGATTAAAACAAGGAAAAACTTGCTAAGAGTGGCATAGGAGGCATGAGTTTCCTCTTGTTTGAGATATTGTTTGAGGATGGCTACATGGAGGGATGCCCTGCAGGAGAGTTCAGACATCAGATGGCAGTAGATTAGACAGATGACCTTAAGGCTCTTTTCAACACTACAATTCAAAAAAAGGATAGAACTTCCTTTCTTCTAATCAGTAGATCAGTTTACAGCTCTCTAATTTGCCCACTTCTTCCTCTGTTGCTTCCTCCTTTGTCTCAGCAAAATTCACTTAGCTTGATGTAGATAATCCATCGGAAAAAGATCTTGTGTAATTTGAAATTCTGTCTTGCTTCCCTTGTGCCTTCCCTTCCATTCTAAATAGCTCTTTGTTCATTGAAAATGAGTTGGCCAACCCAAATTTCCCTTAACTTCCATCAGCATAGGAATAGGTCTGGAAAAAAATTTACTTATTTTTATGCCTTACCTTTTTTTTTTTTTAAAGATTTTATTTATTTATTTGACAGACAGAGATCACAAGTAGGCAGAGAGGCAGGCAGAGAGAGGAGGAAGCAGGCTCACTGCTGAGCAGAGAGCCCGACGCGGGGCTCGATCCCAGGACCCGAGCCGAAGGCAGAGGCTTAACCCACTGAGCCACCCAGGCGCCCCATTTTATGCCTTACCTTATTCAGAAAAATAAAACAAGACCTACAAGAACATAGAAAAATAAGTTATATTGGGCAAAACAGAGGAAAATATAAGGAAGTCAGGAATGAGGCTAATTCAGAAAAAATTATGCCATAAAAACTTTACTGCGCTTACTGGAGGTGGTTCTGGTCTACTACTAGAATGCAAGTCTGCCCAGTTGCATACAGACCAACCCATATATACCAGTTGTTCAGAAGAAGTATTTTTATTGTATTGGGATAAGATAGGAATTTCTTAATAGGATTCTCATAACTAGTGGCATGTGATAAATGTCCAGCATTCTGGAAAAAATTGTGTATTATGAATATATGTATATAAATATATTGTAAATATTACTGATAAAAAGAATGTGTGGTACACAGTTAAAAAAATAAAATACACAATGTTCTTTATTGTAATTTCCATATAGTCAATTGATTCTCACAGAATACTTTCATTGATTTTTCTGAATTCGGGTCCATAGCCAACTATGATTGTAATTGAATCGTGATTTGACAAATGAAATTGTTTCCAGTCTGCTGTTTCCCTAATAAATTTATTGTCATTAAATATGACGTTTGAAATGAACGTTGGTGATATTTTTGTTTACATTAATGAATAAGAGGAAAGCAAAGCAATATTTATGTGTGTCATCTCTTTGTCGGTGACATGGGCAAGTTCTCTGAGTAACAATAGTTTCTGAATTATGGAAGAATATTTTGTCAACTTTCTGTTCTGTTAACAATGAAAAACTTTCAGACACAACAAATTTTAAAGTTTCACCTGCATTATTAACATTTTTCTCCTTCACTTTCTTATGTCTCAACCAGAGCCAAGCAAACTGTGGCCCTTGAGCCCAATCTAGCCAGTGGCCTGAATTGAGCTAAGAGCTCAAAGAATATGAGCTAAGAATATTTTTGACCCTTTCAAAGTATTAAAACAACAACAACAATAATAGGAATTTGTAACAGAGACTCTGTGTGGTCCACAAATCCAGATGCATTTTCTACCTAGCCTCTGCAGGAAAAAAAAAAAAATTGCTGGCCCTTAGGACAACTAACAAAAGAGTAGATCAAGCCCTAATTTGTAAGATTTGCCAATTTCCAGGATGTAAATACTTCCACCATCATAGCTGATTTCAACCTATCAGTGTGACTTCAGTGAATCGGGAAGAAACGTCCAGTAGTGCCATTAGATGGCATTTCCATCAAATAGAGGCGAAGGTGTAAACAACCTCAAGAGTGTAGCAGGAATACTATCCAGTAATATAATTGGAAAATAATGAGTTTTGAATTTGATTACCTTTGTTTTAAAATAGTTTTATGTTTATATCATTTAATTCTTAATAAAGGCTGTGTTTAGCGACTGGCTTGCAAAATTCCTAAAAATAAAAAATCAGCTTTTTTGAACCTGTATGAGTCAGGTCCAGCACACTGCCACATAATACATTTTCCAGACGCCCTCTTGGTTCAGAAGGGTTGCAACGCCCAGCTGAAAACCAGGGCGTCATGCAAGGCACAAATCAGTTGAAGGGAAGAGATGACTTCTATTCCTGCCTGCCAGACCTAGTGTATGTTACCCAGGAAATAATTTAATGAGATTGCCTTTATCTTTGCAGTATGTTGACAAGTTAGACCTAATAGACCTCACATGTCTTACTGACCAGAATTCAACTGTAAAGAATTGTGCAAAATTCACCCTTGTTTTGCCAAAAGAGGAAGTGCAACTGAAGGTGAGTAAGGAGAAGCAATTAGTTGGAAACAAGTTGTAGTTATAAATAGCAGTGGCTGCTGCACAGCCCAGCAGCTGAGATAAAGAGGAATTCTAAGAGGAGCTGACAAGTCTCATTCTTTGTTAATATTTCTTGCCTTTTGCCAAAAACTGCAGTTTTCTAAATAGGGATTTGAAAGGGCATGTTCCCTTGTTTAGTATACAAGCACGTTGAAACCATATACTTCTGTCCTCCAACAAAGTCAGAGATCCCATCTGGTGTTTTTAAAAAGTTGTTCTTGAATTGACATTCACCAACTTCCCAGATGAATCTGAGACACGTCCAACATGATACATGTTGGGAACCACTAAATTAGAAAAACCCATATTTCACAAATCGAGACACATTTTGCAAGGCAGTTGGCCTATAGTATTCAAAAATACCACTGTAAGAAAAGCCAAAGGAACACTGGACACCTGTTGCCAGTTTTGGAAATTGGAGTGTGACAACTATATGCGATGTGTGATCCTGGATTGGATTCTGTATTAGAAAAGGAAAAAAATGATAAAGAACATTATTGTTACAGTTAGGAAAACTCCAAAAAGAACTGTGTGCTAGATATACACAGTGAAACGGTATTCAACTCATCCAACTCTAAACCTCACAGGAGCAGAGATCTCGTTTGTTAAAGTCGTCACTGTACACCCAGAACTTCCATAGAAAAAATGTTTTTCTTGAATGGACATTCAAAGTGAGCCAATTAAAATCAACCAACAACTATAGTAATAGCATGAAGAGAATGCCTTGGCGTTGAATAAGATGTTGGAGTTGGTCTTGCAAGCTCTGATCATAAGATTCACAGAACCATAGTCTCCACTTGAAGTGATTGCAGTGACCTGTGGTCAGCCGTGGTCCGGGAGCAGGTGATCCTCCTTCTGACCTGTTATCAGAGGGACCATAGTAACCCACCACTCTGTCACAGTGCCTATGTCATTCATATCATTTCCTCACCTAGGTATTTTATCAGCTCATATCATCACAAGAAGATGGGTGAGTAGAGTACAATAAGATTGTTTTTTAAGATTTTATTTATGTGTTTTGAGAGAGAGAGAAAGCACGAGTGGGGGAAGGGGAAGGAGGGGAGAGAGAGAGAATCTCAAGGAGATTCCACACTGACGGGGAGCCTGATGCCGGGCTTGATCCATGACCTCCCACGACCTGAGCCAAAATCAAGAACTGAACGCTTAATGGACTGAACCACCCAGGCACCCCAGCAAAATAAGATTTTTTGAGAGAAAGATCACATTCACAGAACTTTTATTACAGACTATCGTTATAATTGCTTTATTACATTATTGTTGTTAATCTCTTACTGTGTCTAATTTATAAATAAAACTTTATCATAGGTATGTACCTATAAGAAAAAAACATGGTGTATATATAGTGTTCAGTACCATCTGTGGTGTCAGGCCTCCACTGGGGATCTTGCAATGTATTCACACAAATAAGGGGACTGCTGGACTAGAAATCATTTTACTTAGGAAATCTAGGCCCTGCCCCTAACCCTGAGCCTCAGAATCTTTGTCTTAAGCAAGCTTCACACATGATTCTGATGCGGTGGTTAAGAACACAAGATTGGAGTCAGAAACGTAGGGTTGATTTCTGGCTATTTTATTCATTAGCTGTGTAACCATAGGCAAGTCACTTAACCTCTTTGTGCCTTGGTTTCTTCATCCAGAAGTAAGTCTTTACTCAGATGTAACCCTCTTACTGAGATCTGCCTGAACCGCTTTATTAAAATTGCAATCCTTTTCCCATCCCCGAACCCCTCAAGACATTCCCAATATCTTTTACACTGCTATACATTTTATTCTCCCATTTAATTCCTTCTGAAGCTGTACCATTTACTCACAATTATATTTATGACTTATTATTCCTTGCTAGACCCCAAATTTCATCAGAACAAGGATTTTTGTTTTGTTCTCTGATGCAAACCAGTACCTAGAATAGTGTCTAGAACTTAAAGGCACTCAATAAATATGCTAAATGAGCAAATCCATAAAATAAAAATTTTAAAACTTTTGCAGAGTTGCCATGAACATTAAATCAGTTAATACATGGAAGTACTTAGAGCTGCCACGTAGAAGTACTTAACAAATATTGGCTGCATTAGTAGGATTTAGAGTTAAGAACCGGAAATTTTTCCTCAAAAATTTCCTTAAAGAAACTACATTGGTCTTACCCAGTTGCCCCAAACTTAAAGCCAGTCAGGGTTAAATACCAATGGCGGGGGGTGGGGGGGACCATTAATTGACATATTGTGGAAATAAGTGTCCTAACATTTACATTTTTAGGAGTTAAGTAAGTTTGTATAATTTTACTTGTTGAAGAAGCAAACAGCTCAAAACTATATACTTGTGACAAAAGAAAATAGTATTGAAATTTCATAACAAATGCACATTAACAGTTTTAAGCAAAAAGGAAAATGATTTGTTTCTTCCTTTCGACTAAAGTGCTTTAAAAAATTACAACTGACTTTTTAAAACAATGTGCTTCAATAGAAGAATATGCATTTTGTCAATCTTGCCGGGTTTTGAGACTTAGAAAATAATCGTATGAAATTCTAAAGTTATTTGAAGTTAATAAAAGTATGAATGTTTATATTCATGTCTTTTCTTCTTTTGTCTTTGTCTTTTGTCTTCCTGTTTAGACAGAGAACACAGAAAGTGGGGAAGAATGGAGAGGCTTCATTCTTACAGTAACAGAGGTACGTAGGAAAGACCTTAGTTTTGACTGATTCATAAATTCAACAACTATTTACTGGACACTGGCTATGAACCATACAGAGTGAAAGAGGTCAAAGATACAAGAATTGAAAAGAGGAGATATAAACCCTTACACTTATTCATGAAATTTATATTTTTATCAGGTGGATGGAAAGGAAGAAAGAAAATGAACAAGATAAATTAAAACTGTGATAATTGTTATGTCGAAAGTAAACAGGGCCTTGTGCTAGCTAGAGAGCTACAGGTGGTCGGGAAGATCTACTTTTTGGTCCTATCCCTTGACACAGTGGTCCTTTCTAATGCTAATATCTATAGCTTACATAGCATCTTCCAAAACTACTTTCTAATTCACTTAATACATATTTATAAAATGCTAAGAGATGAATATTGTGAATGACATAAACAATATAACAGAGAGCCCATCAAAATGAAAATTCACCTTTTAAACATTTGCTTAGTGAGTCTTAAGACAAAGCAATGCTTACATGTTCAACTCTGCGGCATCTTATTAGAGACAAGGACTTCCCTATGCAGGGAGGTCACAGGAGGCTAGAAAAGGGGGCTGGTTAAAGATGTGAAAGGCATGCTGACTTGTGACGAGGAAGAAACTCTTGGGGAAACTGCATCAGTGTTGTGGAAAAGAGACATCGTGTGGCATGGCACTTCTTACACGGAGATCCAAGTCCTCCAAGGGCATGTGAGTAGTATGAAGGAGAACACTAAAACCACTGGAAAGCCCTGGGGTGCATCTTCCTGACACACTAATTATTTTGGGAAAAAAAAAACGTTCTTAGCTTTTTTTCTTTGAGGTAAGGATAAAAAGCATTGTTTTCATATTAACGTGTACATAGATATATTTAGAATACAAAATACAATTCACCTGAACTTCCAAGAGAAGAAAAATTATTATTCTTTAATTTTGTGTTCTGTAAATGTTGTTTTTTATTGTGTTCCCTGAACACTCCGTGTATATTCACACCTTGCTTTTGTTAGAGGAGAACTTTACCAGAAGCTTGAGAAACACAGATTGTAGTTGAAAGAGCAGAGAATTTGCTTTTGAATTAAATAAACTGGAGGTTGAGCCCACAACTTTCTAGCTGTGTGACCCCGGACTAGTTATTTAATTTTTCTGAACCTTTTTTTTTCTACTTGTGGAGTAAAGATAACAATATCTTTATTATAGTATTGCTGTGAGGATTTGGAATAACCCAATGCTTGGGACGTAATAGGCGATGGATAAGCAGTAGTTTTTCATTAGTTTCACCTCATCCTATTATTTTATTTAAGATTTTATTTATTTATTTGACAGAGAGAGGGATCACAAGTAGACAGAGAGGCAGAGCAGAGAGAGAGGGGAAAGCAGGCTCTCCGCTGAGCAGAGAGCCCAATGTGGGGCTCGATCCCAGGACCCCGAGATCATGACCTGAGCTGAAGGCAGAGGCTTTAACCTTAACACTGAGCCACCCAGGCTCCCCACCTCATTCTATTATTTTTTTCTGGATTGGTATATAAGGAAATAACTTTACTGATTGTTTGTTTAGTTATTCAGAAGAATAACTTTTTGATTGTATACCCTTATTATGTTTTTATTTCAAATGTCATATATATGCATATAGATAAGATAGAAACAATAGGATTAATAAGAACATGTAAATAGGTCATAAGGAGATGTAAACCCAGGGTATGAATATCAGGAGGGCATAGATTGCTCAGTCCAAAATCTCTCTCCAGAAAAGGTCAACCAAATGAAGTAGGGTAGTATCATAATCCTAATGTGTGAATGCCAGTTTGAAATAGACACACAAAAACACCAGTATGGACCTTTGACTCCCAATTCTCAGTCATCTGATGAAGAGTTCCATTTCTACTCCGTGTTGTCGTATGGTGGGGAGAGCTAATCCCAGGTTAGCTGTGGGAGAACACAGCACCTTGCAGGTGCTCTGGGATTTCCCTGGCAGCAAGAACTAGTGAGCTCAGCATGAACAACGAGAGTCAGTCGTTACTTGAATTAGCTTGTCGTGCAAGGCGGGTATACTGCGCTGTGTGCCAGGCTAAAAGGAACACTTCTAGGAAGATTGGGCACCGTGCGCAGGTTAGAGTTCTTTGGTTGGTTTGGAGGCAGTTAAGACACCAAGATCCTCTATTCACGATTCCGTCCCTCCATCTGTATCAGGTCACTGAAGCCTCTGAGAACCCCAGCGGTCTCCTTTTCGCTAACACCAGTCAGTCATTCTGCTGTCCTTGTTTGCCTACTGCTTTCTTTGGTTTCAGCTGTCAGTTCCCCTACACGTGTCCCTCCTCCCTGGGCAAGTAATTCGACTGCACGAAGTCCTAGAGAGAGAGAGAAAAAGGAGGATTGAGACAGAGCAGACGCCGAGCTCAGCTGTGGAAAAGAAGGAACCAACCGAAGATTATGCAGATGTACTGAGCCCTATGCCAGCGTAAGTGCACCGCAAACTCTGGGGTTTGTCACTGGATTGTTAATATTAATTTCTAATTATCAAAGAGAGTGAGCCCTTGACCTCATTCAAGCGGGGACAGTAAGCTGTCTTGTGGGTGAACAGTACATCTCTTGAGGAGATGCCACAGTTCTTCTTCCGTGTCATGATCAACGAGAAGCAAAATACAGGTTTGGGCCAACCTCTTACCACACAGGAAATCCCCTTCCACCCACACCTTTACACTAAATATTTTTTTCCCGAAGCTCAAACCTAAATAAAAACTGCTATGTAGAAAGAAGGAAGAGCTTTTTTTTTTTTTTTTTTTTTTTTTTTTTTTTTTTTTCCACCATGCAACTCCATGATGGACTGATTTTCTGTCGGAACATTATACCAAAGAATTGGAAGTCTCTGAATGTTCTATTCACTTGTCCTGTCACTGAGTGGTCACTGAACTTGTACTTCAGGAAGGCCAAGTGTAAAATATGTAAGGTGGTGTTCGGGAAAAGAAGAAGCACAGACAGGCCTAAGTCAGCAACACTTTTATTTTCTACTCTTAACTTGCTGTAAATTGTGACTAAGATGGTGAGGTCTTTCCTCCTGGAACTGTGGTCTTCTTGTCCAGGAATCTTGTCCTGGTACCACCCGTGACATCAGCTTCTCACATATAGTCCAGCTGTGCCATACTTGCCGAAACCTGCCTACCATCACGTTCGACTGAAACCAGTGACATCTGATGGACTGATGGGTTAGACATCACAAAGACTGCTTCTTTTTTCTTTTCCTCCATACAAGTAATATGCATTTATTACAGCCAGATAAAAAGAACGTTACAGTCATTCTTTGTCTTACCAGTCAGACATATTCACTGTTAACATTTCAGGGTATGGCATATCCTGCCAGATATTTCTCTGTTGATAAAACAGACCTTTCATTGACCACAATATTTACTATAAAAATGGGAAGGGCTTTCTTAAAAATGTTACACACTAAAAATAACACCAATGCCATTAGAATGTCATATTATACCCAAGGGAGTGAATTCAGACATACCCTTAAATACCAGTTATTTAAAACAGACCATACAAGAGAAACATATAAAGAAATCCTTTGTGTCCCTGAAGAGAAACCACCAATAAATGTTATTTTTGCAAGAGCTTATTATAAACTGAGATTAAGAACTGGGAATACAGTATTAATTCTTGTCTTAGATTTTTAGATGGTACTGGTGATTACATACTGACCAACAGATAACTTTTCAGGTCTTCTTTGGTTAAAGAAAGAGGTTTGCAGGGATGAGGGAGTAAAGGCCTTAAGCATAAAGTGTATTTAATAGTGGCTAGGACTGTAATAACAGTAATTATACAATTGTAATTACAATAATAAAGCCGGGAATTAAGAAAAGTTAATAACTGCAGCTCTTAGAATTAGTTTTGTAGCATTTTTCAAAGTAATGATCTTCATCAGTTAAAAAAAAAAATCCTTTTTTTTTTTTTGTCTCACCTCTGTAGATGTTTTTATACCGTGTCCCGAAAAGAAGCAACTGAGATGCTTGAGAAGAACCCTTCTTTGGGAAATATGATCCTGAGACCTGGTAGTGACAGCAAAAGCTACTCCATCACTATCCGGCAGGAGATAGAGTATGTTTAATTAAAAAAAGTATGGAATTGTTAAAAGCATGGTATCACTTTAGAAAGCAAAGTTGCACAAGTTGCACAAGATCACCACCTGCTATGTGTTCTGTTGGGGCTAAAAATATAAACATAAGAATCGGGAGAGAATGTTATAGAAGCAGAGCCAAGGCTCATATCTGCAGTAGGAAGAATGGGCAAATTACTTTGATCCTGGGTATAATTCTCTTATTCATTCATTTCACACATCTTTATTGAACGACTATTATGAGAAGAAGTAATATTCTAGATACTGAGGATGGAGTAGTGAACAAAATAACAATGTAAGGAGTTTACATTCTTTTTTTTTTTTTTAAAGATTTTATTTATTTATTTATTTGACAGAGAGATCACAAGCAGGCAGAGAGGCAGGGAGAGAGAGGAGGAAGCAGGCTCCCCGCTGAGCAGAGAGCCCAATGCGGGACTCAATCCCAGGACCCTGAGTTCATGACCTGAGCCGAAGGCAGCGGCTTAACCCACTGAGCCACCCAGGCACCCCAGGAGTTTACATTCTTATAAGGCAACATGGACTGTAAATAAATGCCTAACTAAAAAATCATATGTATAGTAATAAGGACTACAGAAGAAAATTAAATAGGATGAGGGAGATGGGAACACTCAGAAACATTTTCCGATTGCTATTGTTTTAATACAGAGTGGTCAGGGAAGGCCTACTTTATTGGCTAACATTTAAACAGGGCCCTGAAGGAAGCGAGGGAACAAATCAAGCCAGTATCTAGGGCAAGAGCACTTCAGGCAACAAATGCACATGCCTGGAGACAGGAGAAGGCTCAGTTTGCTCAAAAACAAAAAGAGGTCCCTGTGATTGCAATGCAGTGAGCAGGCAACCAGTGCTAACGAGATTCCACAGTGAGGAGGGTAGCGAGTGATCGCTCTGAGCCCTGCGTGCCTCTGAGGGACAGTTATATGCTCTGAACGACATGAGAGGCCATTGGACTGTGATGCATGAAGAAGTGACATAATTGACATCCATATAAAGGACAACTTGGATCCTCTTGTCAAGGTTAAGAATTTCTGGTAAAATGGTTTACCTTTGATGAAGTCTGTAATACTTACATGCAATAGTTGATTTTTCCATGTAGCTAAGGTGGTTGGATCTGCTAAGGTCCACTCCAGCTCTGAGTCTTTGAAATCTTGCATGTCAATAAATAAGCACTCCACGTTATTAACTCTTTGACAAATGATAATGAAATTAAAACATGAGGACATTTTTTGTCCTAAGTGAAAATGTTCAATAAGTAATTATCTTTCATATAAAAGCATAACCAGAACTTTGACTCTTTACTTTGCTATTCTTTCTGGGGATAACATTCCATGAATTATTTTAGCTGTAACGTATCTGTCGGTGCATCTGTTTACCAGTCAGTCCACTATAAATATCAGTAATTCTAAATATATTAAATATGAAGACACTGACAATGGATAAAGGCAGTAAAAAGAAAGTAATTACAATGCACCATGGTCCAACAAGCTTCATCACTTGCCAGTTACTCCATATAAACAGAAGCTCATCTTTAGACACCAGACGTGTGCCCTGAATAGATGGCAAGAATGTTAGAGGCATATCAGGTCCCGGTTGTGTGTGTTAAGTGAGAGAGCTCTGTGTGTGAGTATGTGTGTTTGATTTTCCATAATGAATACCTATGTCAACTTAACCTTCTTGTTGTTTTATTATTTTTTATTATAAAGACTGATATTTGGAGTTAATATATTTTCAACTAATATGGTAGATAGAATATCACAGATTACTCAATTTTAATTTATTTGCTTTATAATTCAATTGGCTCTTTTGAAACAAACCCAAAAGAAATAAAAATTGTGACTGCCCTCACATATAAGTGAGCTTAGAAGAAATGCTGGGAGAACAGTGAATTTTTCTGTTGAGTACATCCTGGTCAAGGAGCTTATTCTTTTTCAGGGTTTTAGGAAATTGAATTGAGTATACCTTTAAAACTTAAGAGCATATAAAACGGAATTAAAATCCATTTCTCAGATTTTGTTTTAAAATGAAATTTAACTGCTGGAAAGCTAAATCACACAAGGGAGTGATAAGCTTTTTTCCCCTCATTTTATTCTTTTCTTGGTTGGATTGAGCGTTTGATCTATTAGCATGTGAACTCTGCATTATTATTCTGTATGAAATGAACAAAGTCCCTGAGACCTAATGACTCTTTAATAAAAGACCACATATTTTCTGCACAATAGCAACCTGATCTTTTTAAGAAGGTCTAAATTAGCCCAGCTTTTGCACCTTATTTTCTGTAAACGTGAGCTGTCAGAAATAATAGCGCTTTCTGATGTCGATGTGGTTTTTGACCGAATGCAATGAGTTTCTATACTTAGGATATGAACTGACCGTCACAGTTTTTACTTATATCTCTTATGGTATTTAAGCTATATTTGAACTCCTAAGAAAGAGCCTGGCAAAGAAATTCATATCAAACTTCTATAATTGTAATTTTAGTAAAATCACTTCCATTTTGAATTCATATAAAAATTCATGCTTTTGTACAACTGATGGTCCTAAAAACATAACATTTCATAAAACGAATCTTTCTCTCCACAAAACTTCATATTTTTTAAAAATATTTTATTATTTGACAGAGACACGGAGAGAGGGAACACAAGCAGGGGGAGAGGGAGAGGGAGAAGCAGGCTTCCCGCTGAGCAGGGAGCCCGATGTGAGACTCGACCCCAGGACTCTGGGATCATGACCTGAGGTGAAGGCAGATGCCCAACCAACTGAGCCACCCAGGTTCCCTCAAAATAGAACTTTTAGAAGCCTAGATTTTATATCTTCTGTTTAACAGGTAGCCGTTACAGAGAATAGTAGAATGTTACCCTGTTAGACTATAGAGCTTAATGTAAAGACTTTGACAAAAAAATCTAGACGATTAGGAAGCACCTGAACACAGGTGGGTAATAACCCACAGGACCAACTCATTCTCTTACAGGTTGTAGGAGAAATGTGCAGCCATGCAAATTTAGGTGTGTCTGGCAAAATACTAGCTGAAAAGGACAGACTAGTTTACAAAGCAGTGCTTGAAAGTAAAATTATCTCCATCAGTTAACAAAGCAGCTGTAGGAGGGAAGATTGTAGTTCTTGCGAAGAAGCAAAAGTCATTCAGTGCCCAATTATCAGGTGACCCTCTCCTGATGTAAAATACCTCACTTTACCCAACCCAGTGGTATGTGAATTCATAAGACAGAGCTATTCTTACAACAAACTTAGTGGTTTGGCTTTGTTTTCTTAAAATTGTTATGACTACATGGCAAGCTAGTAGTATATATATACTTTGGAAAGCCATTAGCCAAGGAAACAGTAGAAAATATTGACCCCAAATTAATGCCTTTGCAGAAATTTGGGTAAGAAGCTAAATACACGTATTTATATCACATTTAAGGCCACACACTTGTTGAAAGACAGGTTACTTCTTTTTTGAGGTCATAATCAGGAAACCTCAGTATAGAAAATTTTATCATTTTTTCCTCTATCTTTATTTCTTGGGAAAAACAAAACAAAATATGAAAGAAAAGCAAAGGTCTTAAATGAGATTCAAAGCCTAAGCAACTTCAATGGAATTTTTTTTTTCTACCTTACTTTCTGCTCCAGAACTCAGTCCTTTTAGTCAAAAGTTCCAAGAGAGTCTGTTAATCTTTGCTGCTTTTCCTCCCACAGCTTTGTCATGAATAATGATGATGATGATATAATAGTCATTACTAACAACGATCATTGTCATCACTTCCAGGGTACCATTTGAGGGTGCTGAGCTAGGTGCTTGACAAGCATTTCCTTCAGGCACAGTAAAAACTGAGACCGTTTTTTCCATGTTTTATAAATGAAGCAGCTAAGCCTTAAAGAAGCTACTAAGTTAAAACCATAAATTTAAAACGTAGTAAAGAGAGTTATAATTTGCGACATGTCTACATGTGCAAGATACTGTGCTAAGGACTTTTCAGACATTAATTCACAACAGTCCTGTGAGGAAGGGGATTACCATCTCCATTTTATAGATGAAGAAATGAAGGCTGAGAACTTACACATAGAACCAGAATTTGAACCTCAATCTTTCTGGTGATAAAGACCATGCCCTTCAAGCTTTCTGTTAGTCTTCCAAGGAATAAGAATCACTTGTTTCATAAAAATATAGGAGATCTAATTGGAAAGGATGAGAGATTTCAAAAGTAACTAAGTGATTATCAAAGTCTTTTTCAGGTAGGGATAAAAATAAAGCCAGAGCCAATCACTCCAAGAGAAGGTACTTGTAAGACCTTCGTCCAAAAATGTTTCCTTTACCAGTCTGCTAGTGATTCCTGAAGGATTGGCAATCAAGAATACTTTTTATTTTTAATTATTTTTTAGGAGTTTTAGTTTTTAGTTTTTGGTATTTTTTAGGAGTTTAGGAGTTTCAGTTAGGTTTTATCCCATGTCTTAAAAGTAAAGTTCTAGAATAAAACACTAGAATAAAATTATTAGCTGTTTTCCAATGACATTCAATTGAGAGAATATTGGATAGAATGGTAGATGAGGAAAAAGTCCCTTGAAAAGAATTGTAGTTCAGTCCTAGAGGAATGCGACCCGTAAGTGGAGAGACGGGTGATAAAGAAGGTGGGGGGGCCCTGCCGACAAACTCAACCTGACAGACAGCTTTGGACTGCTTCTGGAAATCGGACAGATGTTGAATTAGTTTCTCTTTCAAGCAAATGGCAGTGTAATAAATGCTTTACATTTTTCAACATTAGAGAAACTCTTGGTCCTGACACTGTTGTCACGTGAATCAAAAGAATTCAAGGCAGACATATTCACTTCTGCTCTCAGTATAAATTAATTGTAGCCAATAGCACTGTAAGATGGGCTTGTAGTATTTTCAAAATTCAGTTGCGTAAATATCGTGTGCCTAATGCTGGAAGACAAAGGTGAATAGATTGTGCTTCTTGTTCTTAATCAATTCTAGTTAATAAAATATCATGTATTTAGGGTGGTAATAATTTAAAACTATGTGACCATAGAAGAGGAGACATTACACTTCATCTACTGTGCTCACCTTCTCCTGGAGCATTTTCCAGATCCCTGAGTCAGCCTAAAGTGAGCGGATACCTAAGGTGGTCTGTGAGTTAGCAGGAATTTCAGGGATTTCTCACTGGAATAGTGAGGATGTAGAATAGAAAGTCATTTGCTTTCAGTAATTCTTTCTACTTTCCTTTTAATCTAGAGAATAAAGATCTGATTTGTACGTACCTACTTAGGATATTATAATGTTGCCTGCTTTGTAAATTACTGGCTTTAAAAATGATAATTTCTGCCTGAAAGATTTTCAGCTCTTGATTCCTTTTTTCCTGTTATCCATCACCCACTCGATGACTCAGAATCCATAATGTATAACCCCTCCAAAAACAGACATAGAGAACTGGGAAAATAACAAAATGAAAACCACCATTTTAAAGTTTTTTATTTTTATCATTATTATTATTTTTTTTGCCTAACTACAGAAATGGGAATGTAGGTTTTATTATAGAGGAGATATTTTATATTCACTTTAGTTTGATTTGGTCCAATAGTATATTCAAATGGAGAATAAACCTTTTTTTTTTTTTAATTTTAGCATGCCAAGAATCAAGCACTATAAAGTGATGAGTGTAGGAAAAAACTACACTATTGAACTGGAAAAACCCGTAAGTAGCTATTTCCTTGTTTTTGAGGAATTTTCTCCTGCTTTTTCCCAAATCTACCTTATAGAATTCAAAGAAAGGTGGAAAAGCAGACCCCTTGCCCAGGAACATAGTGTGGTGAGAAGCAGCCATGTGAAGGAGCCCCGAAAGTGGCAGAGATCCAGGGGGAGACGTGACATAGAACAGGTGGATGTGGAGGCTCAGGAGAGACTCTGCTAACAATTCTACTTTTGTTTCCCTGTAATCTTTATCAATATGATTATTTCAGGGAGGGAAGATTTTTTTCTTAGATGCCTGTTTTCCATCCTCCAATGATACGTATTTGAATGTGATCATTTCGAATGGGGGACAAAAAATCTGTGAATGCCTAGTCCTCTAATACCCGTCATGCAGAAGTTCAGAAATCCCCCACATACTAGCAACATAATCATGAAGAAACAGTCCCTTCCTGGTCTGCAACCCTTCTCAACGGTACCATGGGGCTCATGATATAATCACTAGGTCGCGGTATTAGGCAGACAGCTAAGTACCTCACATGTATCACTTAATCTTCACCGTGACCCTGAGGGATGCCTATGATACAGGTGGGAAAACTGGTACTTACACTCATCTCAACCAATGAAAATGTAGTGATGTGGGCTATGGTCCAGGTGCCAGAAAAAGGGAATTTAGTTCTGTGATCTTAGGCTGCATCAGTGGGAAGACTGGACTGGGGAAGTGATATCACATAAATGGAACTGTCTTGAAGATATTTATTTTAACATCTTTAAAATTGAGCTCTTAGTGCCTCTGCCTCTTCAAGCCCATTGTGTTGATTAGATGGACAAAGGGGCAGTCTGGCAGAATTTTTATTTATTTATTTATTTTTTCTTTTTTTAACAAAGACTTTATTTGTCAGAGGGAGAGAGGGAGCGCACCAGCAGGGGGGGTGTTGAGCAGAGGGAGCTGAGGAGGGAGCCTGATCCGGAACTCAGTCCCACCACCCAGGATCATGCATGACCTGAGCTGGAGGCAAATGCTCAACAGACCCAGGCGTCCCTGAATTTTTTATGTTTAGACCCTACTTCGTAGAATGCACTAGTGACTTTTGACAAGAAGAGAGAAGCTGATGACTTCTATAGCTCACCTCCCTCTTTGCCATAAATGCCTCTCTGAGCTCCTCGGCTCTCAGGTCCATGCCTGCTGGGGCTTTTTCAAAAATTCTAATGAGGGAAACAAACAACTAGATTGCTGAAGGATAACGTAAATAACCAACTGACCGGAAGCAACAGTCAGGGAAGAAGAAGGTGCCTCTGTGACTGGTGAACTGGGCTCATTTCTCTAAGTAGTCCGAACAGGCCCCAATATGAGGAAAGTTAACTGCCTGGGCTGTTCTTTCACCTTTCACACTCCCCCTCCCTTAGCCCTCAACCAGGTTGACATTTTATGAATTCCAGGGGTATTCAGGTTTAGCCTGATTTTACTTGTATAAAAATAGTGGTTTGGGGGTGGCAAGCCATTTCAGCTACTCCTGGCCAAGTAAACTATCCTGTTACAGTGAGATGTTAAAATGGTAAATTCTCTGGCTTTAAAGGGTTCTTTGGTTTCAAACAGAAGAAACCAAATCACTAGCTTAAGTAAAGACAGATTTAAGAACATAGGAAGCCCATGAAATGACTGGACAGCTGGAAGACCTCCAGGGACTAGGAAGCAGTTACTTGTACAGTTGACCCTTGAACAACATAAATGCATGGGTCCAATTACATGTGGGTTTTTTTTTTTCTTTTGATAAATACAGAATAGTACTGCTAAATATACTTCTCTTGTGATTTTTTTTTTAAGATTTTATTTATTTATTTGACAGAGATCACAAGTAGGCAGCGAGACAGGCAGAGAGAGAAGAGGAAGCAGGCTCCCTGCTGAGCAGAGAGCCTGATGAGGGGTTCGATCCCAAGACCCTGAGATCATGACCTGAGATGAAGGCAGAGGCTTAACCCTCTGAGCCACCCAGGCGCCCCTCTTGTGATTTTTCTTAATATTTCCATTTCTCTGGCTTACTTTATTGTAAGGATACAGTATATAATAATGTATAACATACTAAATATGTGTCAATTAACTACGTTATTGGTAAGGCTTCTGGTCAATGGTAGATTGTTAGTATTTAATTTTGGGAGGAGTCAAAAGTTATTATGCGGATTTTTGAGTGCAGAGTGGGTGGCATCCCTAACTCCTGTTGTTCTAGTGAGAACCTTCTGATTAGGAACCTGCTCTTCTTCCAGGTTCCTCTCCTCAAGTTCAGACTTCAGGAAGGGAGTATTTTCTGGCCTGAGTCACATTCTCATGCAATAACTAGGAAAGTGCAGAGAACCAAATTATTGTCCACCAAAATATATCCCACAGTGGGGGGGGGGGAATTTTTCAACAGGGAATTAGATATTATAAAAGAAAAAAATGCATGGGTGGGAAACACTGGCCATTCAGTACCTTGTTGAAGTGAAGTATTGACATGTTTTACTAAAGATCAGGAAATTCACAGTAATCTTCATTAAATTTCATATGACCTGGGGCGCCTAGGTGGCTCGGTCATTAAGAGTCTGCCTTCGGTTCATGTCATGGTCCCAGGGGCCTGGGATTGAGCCCCGCATCGGGCTCCCTGCTCAGCAGGAAGCCTGCTTCTCCCTTTCCTACTCCCCCTGCTTGTGTTTCCTGTCTCGCTGTGTCTCTGTCAAATAAATAAAATCAATCTTAAAAAATTTTTTTTTCACATGAGCTTTTTTTAACTCTCTTCACATGGATGACACTGAGCCTTCTCTCACTCTCTTCTTACAGGTAACACTCCCAAACCTTTTCAGTGTCATTGATTATTTCATGAAAGAGACTCGAGGAAATTTACGACCATTTATATATTCAGCTGATGAAACCTTTGGTATGTTCTTCACTTCATTGCTGTATTAAGGAAAGCAAAACAATAACCCTCCCCCACCAAACCCCATAAATGATTTGTAATACCAACGAGGTAGGAATGTAGTTTAGCTTTTAAATTTATCTATTTGTAAGTCATTTTATCATTAACCCTATGAAACTAAGGGAGGACCAATATATTCTGGTGGCCCATTCTAGAGAAAGAAAAGTCATAGGCATGTATTTTGTGTCTAATTTAATCATCATTCTAATTGGTTTTCTTTTTAAAGATTTTTTATTTATAATATGGAGAATGAGAAAGAGAGAGGACAGGGGGAGTGGCAGGCAGAGAGAGAGAGGGGGAAGAATGCTTTCCTCTGAGCAGGGGCTCTGATGCGGGGCTCAATCCCAGGACCCTGGGATCATGACCTGAGCCGAAGGCAAACACATAGCTGATTGAGCCACCCACGTGCCCTTCTACTTGTCTTTATCAAATAAGTTCAGAGATAAGACAAAAAACCATACTCATATATAGAGTCTTGGAAACCTAACGGGATTTAAACGTATCATCTGTTAACAACATCAAATGCCCTAGTCAGATTAAAATGGATGAAGATGGAATTGGCCCTCCGGGGGTAGATGATTTGAGAGAGAGGCTAATTCCACCATAAAGGCAGAGGCCTGAGTGTCAGATAACAAAGTAAGTCTCTATTCTACAGGTTATGAGGGAAAACAACTTTGTTTGGCTACCTGCATCACAGCATATCTGAAAAGTCTGATTAAATTTAAAAAGTCACAACTTTAAAAGTCCAAAGTTGAAAACATATGAATCTTGTGATGCCAAATAAATAAACTGAGCCTGAAGGAACTTTAGGGAAATTGTCCAGTACAGTGTCTCACTGTATATAGGAATCACCTGCACACTCAGTACAGAAGACATCTCTAAGATGTGACCAGTCAGGGACACCTGGGTGGCTCAGTGGGTTAAGCCTCTGGCTTCTGCTCAGGTCATGAACTCAGTGTCCTGGGATTGAGCCCCACATCAGGCTCTCTGCTCAGCGGGGAGCCTTCTTCCCCCTCCCCCTACCCGCCTGCTGTTCTGCCTACTTGTGATCTCTCTCTCTCTCTGTCAAATAATTAAAACCTTAAAAAAAAGAAAAAAAAAAAAAGATGTGACCAGTCAGCTTGTTTGAAAATTCCTAATGATGGTCACCTCACTGCTTTTTGAGGCAGCACACTTCCTTTTTGATTAGTGCTCATCTTAGAGAATTCTTTCTTAATAGTAAGTCTGAAATATTTCTTCCTTTAACTTCTATGTATTAATCCAATTTCTGGTTTTGGAACAACTCAGGGTTTTAAAAAGCCCATCAAATACAGAAAAGCAGCCACAATGCGCCCCCCTCCCTTAGTCTTTCTCTGTCCTCGATAAGTTATTAGTTCCTTCAGCCCTCTTACCACATCTTTAACTTTTCTGTATACTAATTTCCGAACATCTCTTTTAAAATATAATTACAGAGGATGAACACATTACTACAGACATGGCCAGAATAATATATTACACAGGCTTAATTCAGGAAAACACCATTTACAGAAATCTATTAACTATTAATATGATTATTAATATAAGTAGTAACTATTGATACAATTTTTTTTTCAGAGACTGAAGGATTTCCTGTAACACCTCTAAAATAAAAAAAAAAAGTTTAAGTGATGGTGAATCTGATATAATTTGCTTCATGTCACTTATCTACTGTTATGTAACAAACCACCCCAAAACATGGTAGTTAAATCAACAACCATTTTATTTGCTCACGATTCTGTGCATTGGTAATTTGGATTGGATTCAGTTGGGCAGCTCCTTTCTAGTCTCACTTGCTGTCACTTACACAACTGTAACCAGCTGATGGCCTGACCGGGGCTGCGTGTTTCAAGTTGGCCTCATTCACACATCTGGTGCCGGTGGCCAACTGGAGCTGGCTGAACCACTCTCCTCACGTATTCTCTAATACTTGAGGAGTTAGCTCAGGCTCTCTCATGTGAGATCTGACTTGTTAAGAGGTGAAGCAAACCTCAAGTCCTTGGGCTAGAAATTCTTAGCGTTAAAGGATCAAGTATGGCCCTGTTGGGAGATTTCAGTATATGTGAAACTGTGAATTGAATAAATGGATCCAAGTGTGATATATCTTATGTACAAAGGCTAAACTTCTTTCTTTCTACAAAATTTAACTTACATGCAATAAAATTCACTTTTTGGTATACAGTCCAATGAGTTGTGACAACCACCATCAGAATCAAGATACAGAAAGTTCCATCACCTCAAAAAAATGCCCCGATGTTCTTTCTTTGTAGTCAACCCTTCTTCTCACCCAAAATCCCTAGCAACTACAGATGTTTTCCACTCCTATAGTTTTGCATTTTCCAAAATGTCATATAAATGGAATCACAGTATAGAAAAATGTTGAGGCTGATTACTTTTATTCATCATAATGTCTAGAGTCACGTAAGTGTTATATTATTAGCTTGTTCTTTTTTATTGTTGAATAGTATTTTACTGTATGGAAGAACTAGTTTGTTTATCCATCCAACAATTAAAATGTATTAGGGTTGTTTCCAGTTTTTGGCAATTACTTACTGAACTGTATTAATAGTCAAGTGCAGATTTTTGTGTAAACATTAGTCTTCATTCCACTTGGGTAAAATATCTGGGAATGAGATTGTTGGGTTATACAAAAAGAGTCCATCTAACTTTGTAAGAAACTGTGGAACTCTCTTCACAAGCAGGTCTACCTTTTTGCACATCTGCCACTGGTGCTGGACAGTTGTAGTTGCAATCCTCATCAGCACTTGGTATTGTCATTAACTTTTAAAAGAAATTTTAAGTAAACTCTACATCACACATGGGGCTTGAACTCATGACCCTGAGATCAAGAGTTGCATGCTCTACCAGCTGAGCCAGCCACACACTCTGGTGGTATTATCATTTAAAAAAAAAAAAAAGTTATTCTAATAAATGTGTAGTGGCATTCTGTGCTTTTAATGTGCATTTCCCTGGTGATTATGTTGAGCACCTTTTCATGTGCTATTTGACATTCATTTATCTCATTTGGTAAAATATGTATTTAAACCCTCTGCCCACATTTTTGTTGGGTTGTTTTCTTGTGGCTGAATTTTGATTATTCAGTACATATTCAGAGTATGTCATTTGTCAGGTATAATTTGCAAATACTGTTTGCTTTTTCATTCTTTTAATAGTATCTTTTGCAAAGCGTAAGTTTTAAATTTTAATGAAGTAAAAATTATCAATTTTTGCTTCTGTATATAGGTTGTACTTTTAGTGTTGTATTTGAGAACACTTTGCCTAACCTTTTTTTTTTTAAAGATTTTATTTATTTATTTGACAGAGATCACATGTAGGCAGAGAGGCAGGAAGCGGGGGGGAGCAGGCTCCCCGCTGAGCAGAGAGCCCGATGTGGGGCTTGATCCCAGGACTCTGGGATCATGACCTGAGTCGAAGGCAGAGGCTTTAACCCACTGAGCCATTCAGGCGCCCCTCTTTGCCTAATCTAAGATCACAAACATTTTTCTTCCTATGATTTTTTCTATAAGCGTCAGTTTTGTATTTTACATTATTAGGTCTATGACCCACTTCAAATTAATTTTAAGGGCAGAATTCATTTTATTTGCATTTAGATATATAATTGTTCGAGCACCATTAGTTAAAAAAAAGATTATCTTTTCTTCATTTAAATAGCTTTTGTACCTTTGTGAAAAAAAATTAATTTACTGTATTTTTGTGGATCAATTTCCATTGATATATGTTCTTATCCTTTTGACAATACCACACTATCTTGATTACTGAAGGCTTATAGTTCTTGAAATCAGAAGATATAAATCCAACTTTGTTCTTCTTTTCAAAATTGTTTGGACCAATATAGTTTCTCTGCCTTTTAGTAGAAGTTTTAGAACTAGCATGGTACTTATAGAAAATCCTCCAGAGTTTTGATTTGGATTTTGTTGAAGCTTTAAGATGAGTTCAGGGAGAACTGGCATCTTGACAGCATTATCTTCCAATTCAGGAATAATAGATCCTTCCAATTAGTTTTTTTTTTTTTAATTTCTTTTACAGTTCTTTATAGTTTCCAGCATATAGATTCTGAATATATTTTGTTAGATTAACACCTATTTAAATTTTGGTGCTATTGTAAATGGTAGTTTTTAACATTTTGGATTCCAATTTTTCATAATATATAGAAATACACTTTTTATTTATTGATCTTATAATTCCAAGATTCTATTTGCTACACTTTCATTCATTTCTAAAAGCTTTTTTTTTTTTTTTAGATTCCTTGTCATTTTTTTGTTTTTTTCTAAGATTTTACTTATTTGTCAGAGAGATGGAGAGCACAAGCGGTGGGGAGAGGCAGCCAGAGGGAGAAGCAGGCCCCTGCTAAGCAAGGAACTCAAAGTGGAACTTGATCCCAGGACTCTGGGATCATGACCTAAGCCAAAGGCAGACGCTTAACTGACTGAGCCACGCAGTGATTCTTTGCTTCCAGTTTTAAAGGACAAAATATTTCATCTTTCACTGATAAGTATAGTATTTGGTGTAGGTTTTAAAAAGATGATTTATCAGATTGAGAAAGTTTCCTTTTGTCTGGTTTTGGTATTAATGTAATGCTGTCATTAAAAAAAGAGCTGGGAGGCATTCCTTCTTCTGTGGTGTGGAAAATATGTGTAGAACTGGTTTTTCTTCTTACTTCAGTACTTGGTAGAATTCACCCAATGAGCCATATGGACCTGAAGATTTCTTTGGTGAAGGTTTTTAACTATGATTTCAATTTCTTGAATAGGTGTCGGAGAATTCAGATTATCTATTTTTTCTTGAGTGAATTTTGGTAATTTCTTTTAAGGAAGTGGTTCTTCCCCACCCCCCCCGCCCCCCAAGTCCTTAAATTAGCCTTCTGGCCTAGAGCCTGGCACAGAATGGAAGCTGATGGACAGTGGTAGAAGAGATAAGTGAATGAATAACCAAAACATTAGGGAAGGAGGAAACAATCCTCCATTCTTCCTAGAAGAAAACTGTCACGTTTAGAAATAGGAAAGGACCATTGCAAGTAACTAGAGCCTGGGTGACTGTACATTTACTCTGTGATAGGCATTGTGTGAGCTGCCATGATTATATGAATTGTCATATTAAACAAGGATAATTACTTTCCTTTTAAGATTGAGAGAAATAGAAATGAGATGATTCTTATAATTACCACCTAAGTAGTTTTCACATATGGCTAAAGAAGTTAGGTCAGAAACACAACTAGTAAATGAAGTTAGAATCCAAACCCATGTTTATTTCTGAAGCCTTTTTTAAAATACTCAGTGAGTCACATCTCTGGTGCTATATATTTGTTAACAGATACTCATGTTCTCCACCCCTCTCCTCCCGGCACCTTATCCTTTCCTATTTCTTTCGGTTGGGAGTTTGGGCCTCCCTTAGGTGGGTTTTCTGCATTTTTTTTTTTTTTTTTTGAGAGGGGGGTTGGGTGGGGAGGGCAGAGGGAGAGGGAGATGGAGAATCTTAAGCAGGCTCCAGGCCCAGCACCTGCAGGGGCAAGGCTTGAACTCACAATCTGGGTGAAATCAAGAGTCTGACACTAAACCAAACTGAGCCACCCCGGTGCCCCTGGAGATTTTTTTATATTTTAAAGCAGACAATCATCCTGATTAGATTGAACCAGTTCTGTCTGCCTTACTCTTTGTGGGAAGAAGTTCCAGTATCAGTTCAGTTTTCAAAGCCTTTGTTATATTGGTTTGGGTCTGTCCAATGCATATATGTATCAGGGATTGACCTAGGACTTAGGCAGTGGTTTATAGTTTAGTTATAAACTATTCATATATACAAAAAAATATGTATATAGATAAACTATATATACCTTATATAGTTCAATAGTTTTTACTTCTCAAAGCCTTCGTTACGTTTTATATATTCTGTGTGCGCGCAGCTTAGAGGTAAGCCTGGAACTTAAGTCACTTCGTACACAAAACCAGGGGATGCTTTTTCACTTCTCTCACCTCTCCAGGATTCCCCCCACTCTTCTGCTATCCAAGGTCCTTCTTGGGGCACCTGGGTGGGTCAGTGGGTTAAGCCAAAGGTTAAGTCAAATAAATAAATAAAATCTTAAAAAAAAAAAAAGGTCCTTTTCCTGGTCTTCCAAAGATGGGGTTTCTTAAGAGTTTTAGCCACCTGTGCCACCACATAGTTCTGTGGAGACTGGGACTGCCCTTGGAAGAAAAGACATTAAAAGAGGAGAAAGAAAAAATTAGTAAGTATTCCAACCCTTCTCCTCGCCAAACCCCACCCACCCATTCTTCAGGCTACAGGGTCCACTCTTCCCAGGTTCTCTGGCCAGGATGAGCTTTCTTTGGGGGTGTTAGGTGCTTCTGCTGTCCTCTATCGCTCCGGTGCAGCACTGTGAGATGGAGCCATCCTCAGAGCAGGGCCAGAAGTGGGGGGAGCATGGAAAGAAATACCCAAAAATTGGCTGTTCATGTAAAATGTCAATGCTTTTAGAAACAACCAAATTACTATTGCTCTGCTGGCTGGACTGTTCAGTTAGCTTTGTGATCAGAAACAAATTATTCAGCCTCCCTGCACTTCAGATTCCCTTATTAAAAGAGTGAGGAAGTGACATATGAACAGATAGAATTACATGATCACATGGAGAGAGACTTCAAATAATCAGACTATCTTCTGTAATGTATTTTCTTTGAAAAGCAGAAAGATGATGGAAGAGTAAACTGGAAGAGTACATGATATGGAGAAAGGACTTAAAAAAACCCCAAAACTACAAAACACCAAAACCCATCTTGACAAATAGTGCTTAAGCTTCAAGGAAACGTTGGGGAAACGTACAACTGTTTTAGGGAGTTTGGACTCCATAGCTGATGGGGCACAGTGGGGATTGGGAGCCCTTAGCTTTATTTTTGCCTTGAGTTAGGAAACAGGAAGTTGTAGAACATGTAAGGTTTAAAATCTGGAAACTTGGAGAAAATTAAAGAGTTTCCAAAAACATATTTTTTTCTCTTTGATCCTTGATGTTAACCCTTGTCAGCATTCAGCTTTTTCTTCAATACCAAAAGGAAAAACAAAGACAAAACCAAAACAAAGATATTTCCTCAGTTTATTTTTCTCAACTTCAGAACTCAGCAGTTTAAATAAAAGCCACTTTTGGGGCGCCTGACTGGCTCAGTAAGTAGAGCATGCGACTCAGTCTTTGGGGTTGTGAGTTCGAGCCCCACATCGGGTATAGAGATTACTTAAAAATAAAATCTTCAACCAACCAACCAATCAACCAACAAAACCAAAAGCCACTTTAAAATA